TAATAATAATAATAATAATAATAATAATAACCCCCAGTGAGGCACTACCTTGACGTGGTTGTGGGGCTTGTGTACTCTGAGGAAGATGAGAGCTATGCCAGAGGTTCAACCATACTGGACAGGTCTCATCAGAGGAGTCAGACAAAGAGTGTCTCTTCCATAAAAAATATGGTGAGACGTAAATTTCAGAATGCCATACCGGCTCGGACGTCGCCCGGGTTAACAAGGTCCGCACTAGATATTGGAGTTCCTGGATATCTGGTGAAAAATGGGTTACAGGACTCAGGACTGTTGGCTGAGCAACCAGGGCCAGCAGCTGCAGAACTACTGGAAGAAAAGGTGTTTACCCGTCGCAGATACACAGTGATGGAAAACAAAGAAATAATGATCTGTTACTACAGATCAAGTCCAACAAGACGAGGATATCTAAAACGAATGCACGAATTCTGGAAAGAACAACATCCAGAATCAGAAATAACAGAACAGAGACTAGCAGATCAACGCCGATTTATAACACGAAATAAAGTATTTACAGAAACAGAATTGGACGAACTGCAAAGGTTTACCCAGGGCAAAGAAATCAAAGCCTTACAAGAAGTAATTCAGAATGTAGAGGCAAACCAGGGGGAGTTGGCAGTGAAGGAATCCAGTAGAGATATACAACTGTTCTCATTTGGAAACCAGGCACCTCTTCCTCAGGAAGAACAAAACCCTCTAACTAAAGAAATAAAAGAATTGAAACAAAGAATAACTGAGCATCTAGAACAGCACAAAAACAACAGAATAAGGCTGCCTGCATTGAAGCTTGTTCCAAAGAAACAGCTAGCACAAGCATTAAAAGATGCAAATACTGCAATAGCAAGTATAAGCACCAATTCACTGCAAGAAACAAACCAACTAATGTACAGCACAGCTGCAGTTATAACAGAATACCTGGGATGTAAAATCAACAAAAAGAAAAACAAACAAACAGTGCACCACAAAAATGGAAGGTTAGACTAGAAAATAAGATCAGCAAGTTAAGATCACATGCAAGCAAGCTAGAACAGATGAAAGAAAAGAAGCTGAAGAACAAGAAGACCAAAGAATACCTAATCAAGAAATACCACTTAGAAACAAGGAAGATCAAGGAAGCACTGGAAATAATAAAGCAACAAATAACAGCTATAGCCAGGAAAATCAGTAGATATGAAGCTCGAATTGCAAACTATAGGCAGAACCTCCAATTTCAATCCAATCAGAAACGTTTCTACCAATCCATCAATGGAGAAACTGCAAGGAATCAGTCAGTACCTGACAAGGAAGAAACAGTGCAGTTCTGGAAGCAGATATGGGATAACCCAAAGAAATACAACAAGGATGCGGCTTGGTTAAAAGAGGTGGATGCAAATAAAACAGAAGTTGAAATGAAAGAACTAGTAATAACAACAAAAATGGTAGAAAAAAGAGCAAAGAAAATCAAAAATTGGTCAGCACCAGGTGAAGATGAACTGCATGGGTTTTGGTTGAAACATCTAACTGTTATACACCCACTCATTGCCAAACAGTTCAACAATATACTACAAGGAGGAGAAATTGAAAAGTGGCTAACAACTGGGAAAACCTACCTAATAATGAAAAATCCAGCAAAAGGGGCAACACCAGGTAACTACAGGCCAATTACCTGCTTACCAACAACTTTCAAATTACTAACTGGTGTGGTAGCTGATGCAGTACAACAGCATCTAGTTGAAAACAATCTCTTTCCACCTGAGCAGAAAGGAAACCGCCCCAATAGCAGAGGAACAAAAGATCAACTCCTAATAGACAAAATGATCTTGGAAAACTGCAAGAGAAGGAAGACCAACCTGAATGTGGCATGGATTGACTACAAAAAGGCATTTGACTCTCTGCCACATGATTGGATAATCAAGTGCCTAGAAATAACAGGAGTAAGTAGAAACATCAGAAAATTTGTGCAAAAATCGATGGCACAATGGAAGACACAGTTGCAGATCAATGGTGAAAGCTGGGAGAGGTTAATATCAAGAGAGGAATATTTCAAGGAGATTCATTATCACCATTACTATTTGTTATTGCACTGTTTCCTCTGTCAACAATACTGAATAACTCAGGACATGGTATCAAACATCAAAAACATCTGCTAGACTATCCCACCTCCTTTACATGGATGATCTGAAGCTGTATGGAAAAACATCATCTGAAATAGAATCGCTGCTCAACACTGTCCGTATATATAGCCAAGATATTGTAATGGAGTTTGGCTTGGACAAATGTGCCACACTTACTATCAAACAAGGAAAAATAGTGAAAACTGAAGGAATCAAGATGCCCCACGAAAATAACATTAAGAGTCTGGATGAGGAAGAATACTACAAATACTTGGGTATCCTTCAAGCTGACAACATCAAGCACACTGAAGTCAAGAAAAAGATTAGAGGTGAATACATCAAGAGAGTGAAGAAGATCTTAAAATCCAAACTCAATGGAGGAAATACCA